TTATCCCTTTGAGGATCCAACACATACGTACTGGTTTTGGCAAGTAAACCACGACGCAACAATGCCGAACGAGGAGGTGATGAGTATTGCCGTGGTGAATTTCATCTTGGCTTTGACGTCAGATGTATATGAACCGACGATGCTTGTGAGTAAAACGAGTCGGGTGGAGGGTTGTGTGCATTCCTAGTTTTTGCTGTATAGTTAGAAAAGCTTATATTGATAATCGTCCCAAGTCCAGCATCTTATAGTAAATCACTACCATTCACTTCATCCATACACCGCCGAGGCCAATGAATTTGGAAATATAATGTCTTGGGGTTCATAATGCAGTGTAACCACAATTTGTGACGAGAAGGGTATTGTAACACAACTATGTAGCTAACGCAATTTAATTGCTCGAGGCTGTGGGAGGCTGGTCAGGGACGCATTATCTGGATGTGACCTGTCAAGGGGATTTGACTACTCCGTACTGCGTACACAAACAAGAGCCTCTACTGCAAAAGGACAACTCGTACCACTCACAAACGTCCTGGTTGTCTTGTCCGAAGGCGCACGTCGCCAACACACCATGGGCTTCGGCAACGAGCGAATGGTCTTGTAGTAGCCATTGATTTCAGCTGAATGTCTCAGCTGCACAACTGGACTGCGAGGTAACCAAGAAAAGAGCCAATGACCACCCGGCCATGGATCGGCTGGCTTTCCGGGTCATTTAGGCTCGGGAATAACATTAAAGGCATCCTGTCGAGACACCACACCACGTCGGACGCTGGAAACACAAGGTCCCTCTCGGTGAGCAAGCCATGTCCAAAAATAGATGCATGCAAGACTTGACCATTGCGGAGCTGCCTCCCGCCGCCAATGCTTGGCTCTTTGAATGCCGGTGAAAGCTCATGCAACTGTGTCAGCGGCGGTGGAACAATGGCCCCCATAATGCAGGACGGCCGGGGCAGCTTTGCCGGGAAACCGGGCGCCATGCAAAATAAAAACCTGCATGTGTCCGGTTTCACTGCTGAGAGAGTGTTGTTTTGGCCGTGGCGACTGCAGCATGTTGCGCGGGACGCAACCCGAAAGGACATTATGGTATTTCAGCAAGGAAGTTGAGCATGGCGTTAAGAGCCACAAGTACACGAGCACAGAGACATATCCTCCCTCTCCGTGACAAGAGGCTGTTCATCTCGGATAGCACATTTTCATTGTACTAAAGAAAGTATGTACAAGATAGATTCCATGATGCCAGACTGTGTTGTGCTGTTTGAACATGATTACTCCTCCTCATCGTCACCTACATCCTGGTCAAGAAGAAGGTCAATAGAACCCATAATGTTTTTAATCTCCTTCCGTATGTTGTTATACATCTTTCCGTTGGAAGGAAACTTTGCAGGCGGCGCGGCTGTATCCTCCTGACGCCGCTGGAGGTTTTCAGCGGCGGCATTGCCAGGTCCATTAGAGACGGCCGTAGATAACGCCGCAACTGCCGCTCGTCAACTGGGTTAGGACTGGCATCACCTAATACGTCTTGTCGTTGGGCATCTATCTTTCCACTTACAGGCTAGGACAGCAGCTGCGAAGCGAACCATTTTGGGTGTTCAGGTGACTGTTTCTTCGCTGGGCGATGGCTGGGGAGGGCAAATAATAAAAAGTAGATACGGTTTCGTGTGTGAGGAGTAGCGTGTAGAAGCTTTCTAGTCGGGCGCCCTTCATGGACATTTAAATACTCGCGAGCGAGCTGTATTCGTAGGCGAGTCGAACCGCTCCGTGTCCCAGTGGCATAAATAACTCGTTTCAAAGCCGGGCAAGGATATGCGCTGGCCCGGGATTCGATATAACAGCGTGTCGCTATAGCGTCAGGGCTAATATCGCCTGAAGACGCTTTTAGTGCAATTACGGGAACCCCGGTATTAATTTGAAGCCCGGTCAGCCGATTAAGCGAGCGGATCTCGTGTTTACCGACGAGCGTATATACTAGGAACTCTATATGATCGGTTGAGCCCACATGGCTTTGTAAGCGAATGCACATTGACACGTCCAGTCTGCCACGGTGATATTGACGCATCTTGACGTCTTGGTTGTGGCCGATGAAGAGTATCGCGACATGGGCCGCTTGGATCAACAGGACTCGCGGCGGCTCAATTCACCAGACACTTGAAGCATGGAAAGAAGCCCCAAATGGGCAGAAATTTAACAGGTAACGGCAGCCAAGAATACGAGGTATTATTAAATGCGGCTCATAATCTTTAAGACGATCTGCTACAGGAATAGTTACACCAGCTGTATACGACGCGTACATGGCCGCGGAATCTACTTTGTCCTCTTCTTGCAAACACCCTCGTTCTGGTACTGAGCTATCTCGAGCCTTCTCTGGAAAAACCGATCCGTCTCTCCCCTGTCCAGCATGAGCTTGAGCGCCGTCCGCGTGTTGAGCGCATAGTCAAAGGCCCTCGTGGAAAGGTCTCCGACATTGAACGTGGGCAGCATTCCCTTTTCCTGCAACTTGCTAATGGCGCCGACGGCCCAATCAACACAACTCTCTTGGCAGTTGGGAATGGGCACCTCCTCGAGTGCCTCTGTGATTGCTCTCGTCGACGTCTTTGTCTTTCCCAACGTCACTCTGGCAGAGAGGGTGCTGGCCTTCTCAGGCTTGACACCATACTTGTACTGGAAAAGGAAATTCTTTTGTCCTCCGTCTCCCAAGGGATTTGACACTGCATTTGGGCCTTGTTGGACGCTCAAGCTGTCCGAGGCGTCAAACGCGTCGGCAAGTTCGCTGTTGCGTGAACGAGTCACAATCGCCCAGTGGAACGATTTGAAGTCTTTATCCGCGATTGCCGTTGGATGCGTCTCGAGGTACTGAGAGCGAGAGTAGAATGAAAGATCGATGTACTTTGTTTCAACCTTTTCTATGCGACCTCCTTGTCGCTTGTTCAGGCGGCCGCTAGGTTACAAGTGATGAGGAAATGACCAAGACAAAATGGATGCTGGGATGATTTACCTGTCTGGCTCTTGAGCAGAGCTGATGCTTTGCTTGAATTGCAGTGACGGAGAAACGGATTCGAGTGTGCCAGACGATAGCTGCCCCATGTACCTCGGGGCCTGTGCTATATCGATGGCAGTGCTTCCTGGGAGAGCAGCAAGGAAAAGATAGAAAAGAGCCGATAGGGCAAAGAGAGCCCATCGCTGGTGCGCCATGGCTGGCCTCATAGTGTTCAATGTCGGGGTTCAATAGGAAAGGCCAAAAGGTGAGTGTACAAGTCGTCTTCGACTAGCTAGGCGCTCGACGTTTAAATGTCAGACTGGGCAAAGTTATTTATCCGTGGAATTTGTAATGATAGCTAACAAGTATTGTTCACTCGCCCCGCCCAGGACTTTGTCTGCCGAACACATAATATAAGATGTGTGTCTATTTCATCCTATAAACTCTCTGTGACCTACCCATGTCTATATGGTTATATTTAAACACCATGTGAACAAGGGACACCCCGTCCTATATCGTTGAACGCGCGCGCAAAGGTGGACCTCGTATGGCTATTTTTCGGCTATACGCCCTGATCTTGTTCCAGAGTTTGTAAATTTACTAATCAAGGTAACTTGGTTTGGTTAGACGGATATTGGTGTGGATAAGATATATTGAAGCATGATTTATAGGATATATCACCGTCTCAGGCATTCGCCGCGCCGTTTAATGCGCTCGCCGTCCTAGGCGTTAGCGATCGCCGTCTCAGGTGTTCAGGGTCTATGTAGTTTATGTCCGTTGCAGAAATCATACTTGCTTCTCCATCTTGGATACTCAATCCTGACCTATATTCTACTGGCATATTCCCGCACTCCTATGAGGTGCTTCACGGATGTTGAATCGAATGGGGCCATCATGTCATGTTTCTTCCGAGGAGATAGGGGTATCAGATTCTAAGCTCGAAGCGAGATTAAGTGGCTTAGGGGAGATATATATGCCGCACTATATCTAAATTACGGCATCTCGGGCATATATCGCGACTAGCATGACGCGATCGAATGATTGCATTTCTTCCGGAAGCGGGTCTGATATAGAAGTTACGAGTATTGTTACCAAAGTGAAACGCACATGGGCAAATGAAATTTTAACATTATACGAGTATTTGCCGCAAGACGCAAAGCAAATGCCGACGTGCTAGACCTTGGCGCTTGGCTGGCTATAACCCTTGTATGCCGGAGACGGCGACGTTACCTCAGCTCTGTCAGGTATTGTTCCAGACGTGCAATGTTATCAAGTGGCGAAGCTCCCAAGGATGACAGCAGGGCAAGGATTGCGTTAGCAGAGAAACCAAGAGGGTCGGTCTGACGGTTGTAAATCGGCCTCGGTCGTGGGCTCATTCACGTCGCCCGACGGATGTTCCCATGAAAGAGTGTGAAATCATCTTGAATATAGCTGGGCATTAATACCGCAAGGCCAGTTGCCCAGTGTATACAATGAATATATAAGCGAGCTTCTTCTCGCCACGTAGATGTAAACATTGCAGCCTTTGCCTACTCTGAAACAATTTCTCTCATTTCTCTTTTTACTCTCACTACTTTCACTCTTCTACATGTTACGACTCGTTTTAAACTCCATGGTCCTCTACCTGGCATGGCCAGGTGGGACTCATGGAGCGCCGCAGGAATCAAATACAAACAAACTAAGAGGGCCACTGTCTCTGCTTTCTGGCGACGGCTCCATTTCAGCCGACTTTGGACTGCCGGATAAGCATCTGGCAATGGTCAAGAGAC